AGATTTTCTCGTCTGAGTTCATACTTCAAATCTATAAATCTTCCATCTGTCATGGCAAGGAATATTGTTGTCATATGCGGTCTGGTGCTCCCGCTGTACGTCTCGAGATCCTTGACAAAATCCAGAGACGAATATGCAAGATGATAGGTCCTGATCTGACATCTAGTCTACAATCGCTATCCCACAGACGTGCTGTGACTTCCTGCTGTCTCTTCTACAAGTATTTTCACGGCAACTGTTCCGACGAGCTACTTTCGCTGCTTCCCGAACTACATGATTTTAAGCAAGCTACCAGGCTGGCATCTCGGCCCCACCCTTTCACTGTCAAAACGGGTTAATGTAACCTTCTCTTCTTCTCAAACAGCTTCTTATCTCGCAGTTCCCGTCTGTGGAACTCCGTTCCCCTTACTTGCTTCCCTGATGACTATAATTCTTCAAATATTCAAGTGTAATGTCAATCGACATCTGACCCCCTGAGCTTGTTCCCTGTCCTTTTCTATATGCTTTCCTCAAACACTCTTCTTTACTCTTGTTCTCAATCCTCTGTAACCCACTTGCGTGCTAGTGGCACTCCCGATTTGCTTGGAGTGAATTGCCTAAAAGAAAACAAATCATATATGATATCCTTCGTAAAAATAAAAATAAATAAGTGCCCGATACTAGGATATATTGGGGCGAATGAAAAGTTTGTTGCGAGTGGTATATTGGCCCGCAAACAGATATTGAATGACGTTTTATAGTCGCTGAAGAGCGTTGTCCTGTAAAGGGCAGTTTTGTAGTCATTGGAGGACGTTGTCCTGAAAATGACAGTTTTGTCGTCATTGGAGGGCGTTGTCCCGAAAATGACAGTTTTGTAGTCATTGGAGGAAGTTGTCCTGAAAATGACAGTTTTGTAGTCGGTGAAGAGTATTGTCATGAAAAGGACAGTTTAACCCATATCGTTGCCGCTGGCAAGGATGGATAGATCCGGAGGCCCGCTGGAAGTGGCTGGAATGGCGGGCAGTGTCAAGCTGGAATTGCTGCTGATAGCTTGAGCTGTGGGCCGGCTGCCCGAACCGATACTACACTTTGATCCTAGTCATTATAAAAAATTAGAAATAAAAAGGGAAAGTCGTGTGAGGTTGGTTGTCACTGACTATCCTAAAGCTAGCTAATTTGATTCGCAGCCCATATACTATTCGTCTGGGTAAAGAAACATGCGGTATTTACTCTGTCCCCCCCACTTGGACGAGATGTGACACAAAGTCTATTTTTAGGTGGGGAACCGAGCGCGTACGCCCGGGACAGGCACAAAAATTCCCCTCAGCCAACGCAACCGTCGGTTGCGATGGCCTCGATCCTCTGGTGCAATGGGAGGGCGCGGCCTCGGGCAACTGTTACCCAGGGCTGGGCACCTCTCAGTATTATTTTCCCAGTTACCCCTCTGTCCTTTGACAGAGAAGTCCCTGAGCACACTCTGTCCAAGGACAGAGACGCAACTGAGAGGTAATAAATAGACGTGTAACTACTCAAAAAGAGTAATTTGTATTTACTCAACCCACCACGAGGTCAGGTTGTGACACAAGATCGGTTTAATGTGGGGAGCCCGAGTGCGTGCACTCGGGCAAGGAACAAAAAATTCTCCGAGCCCCTGCAACAGCTGGCCTCGGTGCATGCACCGATCATTCTCTTTAGTGCAATGTGAATGCGCGGCCTCGGGCAGCTGTTCCCCAGGGCCGGCACCTCTAAGTATAATTTTCCTCAATTGAGACTCTTTCAAAGGACAGAGTCGCCCCCGAGTGCACTCTGCCCAAAGACAGAGACGCAACAGAGACATGATAAGTAGACGTGAAATTACTCAAAAAGAGTAATTTACACACTGGCAAAGAAACATGCTTTTATTCGTTGAGGCATTTCTATATCCGTAATCGGTCTTACAACAACGCTCGTTAAGCTTTTGTTTTCTGGTTGTTTTTAAAAAATGTGGGAGTGTCGACAGCATACGACAGGTTCATTCGCTTAATAAGTAGAACATTTACTATAAACCAACATATAGACCAACAAAATAATTTCAATTTAACACCGATCCTACCGTGAATAGAATGGGTCAGACAGATTTCATTATTTATTTGGCCTCTTAAATTAATGCGCTAACAAAGTTACCAATACACAAAGGATAAAAATATAACATTATATTCATACTTTTAAGATGACCACCTTTAATACTAACAGCATTCACTTGTTCAGTCCTGCTAATCTTTGAATGACTCAGTTTAAAAGATTATTGCTCCTGGTTTAGAATTACAGACGACGCGATTTTTTAAAGTTTCGCTCTCGTTCCCTTTGACCACGAAAGCGACATCACTTTCCTATTTATTATACTTCGCTGCAGTTAGATCTCTTTCTGATTCATTCTACATGTCGGCCAGATGTGAGCGCTAATAAAGCAAAACACAAAATAAAAAAGTCGTTTTCTGCGCAGAGGATCCGAGCATCACATCCGCCCCACAAAGCAAATCCCCGCACTAAAATACAAGCATCGTTCAAAAAGTTCTAAGCCTCACCCAAAAGGAGTTGGAGAAACAAAACAGTTTTTCATTATTTTTCAATATTTCTCCACTTGACATCAATGCACTTGGTCCAACAATGCTTAAGCATTGCAATCTCATCACAGAAGAAGATGGCATCCTAGTCCTCCAAAAACTTCTCCACAGTACATATGATCTAATCATTGTTTCCAAAATGGCGACCACGCAGGTGGGATTTGAGAACAGGAAACAGAAAGTAGTCTGGTGATTAAGTGGGGATAGAGTAGCAATTTAAAACCATAGTTGGCTGTTTCGGCTACCTAAACAGAGTGAACCGATGCGTTATCCTGGAGCAAGAGTAAACTTTTCCTCAACTTCCCACTAAGTTTCAATTCGATTGCTTCATTCAGTTGTCTCGATTCTGATGTACAGTGCTGTCCATTAATAGTTTTTCTCTTTTCCTGGTAGACTATCATGATTATGCATTCAACATCTCAATAAAGCAGAAGCTTGTCAATATACGCTGCTTGCTTGAACTTCTTTGAGGTGGAAAACCAGAGTGTTTCCACTGTTTTGAATCTTTGATTCAGGTTCAAAGTGGTGAATCTGGGTGTCATATTGAGTTACTAATCTGAGGTGGAAATTCTCAGGGTAACCAAGGAACCAAGTCAGAAGTCTCCTGGAAATATCAACCCTTTTTCACTTCTGCTCTGGTGTCAGCATTCCTGGGACCCATCTTACAGACAGCATGCTCATCCCAAAGATCTCAGTTAAAACAGTATTGACCGAACCATAACTACGGTAGAGTTGAACATCCAGGAAAATTGTTTTCTTGTCTTCAATCATCTTTCCGCTCGGGACAATTGGATATCCAGGAAAATTGTTTTCTTGTCTTCAATCATATTTCCGCTCGGTACAATTGGACATACAGGAACATTGTTTTCTTCACTTTAATCATCTTTCCGCTCGGTAGAATTGGACATCTAGGAAAATTGTTTTCTTGTCTTCAATCATCTTTCCGCTCGGTAGAATTGAACATCCAGGAACATTATTTGCTTGTCTTCAATCATCTTTCCGCTCGGTAGAATTGAACATCCAGGAACATTGTTTTCTTGTCTTCAATCATCTTTCCGCTCGGTAGAATTGGACATCCAGGAACATTGTTTTGTTCACTTTAATCATTTTTCCGCTCGGTAGAATTGGACATCCAGGAAGATTGTTTTCTTGTCCTCAATCATCTTTCCGCTCAGTAGAATTGGAAATCTAGGAACATTGTTTTCTTCTCTTCAATCATCTTTCCGTTCGGTAGAATTGAACATCCAGGAACATTATTTTCTTTTTTTCAATCATCATTTTGCGAGTAAAAAGAACATTTTTTTCTTCTCTGGATCTTTCGAGGAAAATATTTTTTTGTCTTCAATCATCTTTCACTTTAATATAAGTAGAATTGGATGTCCAGGAAAATTGTTTTCTTGTCTTCAATCATCTTTCCGCTCGGTACAATTGGACATACAGGAACAATGGTTTCTCTTCTTTAATCATCTTTCCGCTCGGTAGAATTGAACATCCAGGAAAATGGTTTTCTTCTTTAATCATCTTTCCGCTCGGTAGAATTGAACATCCAGGAACATTGTTTTGTTCACTTTAATCATTTTTCCGCTCGGTAGAATTGGACATCCAGGAACATTGTTTTCTTGTCTTCAATCATCTTTCCGCGCAGTAGAATTGGATATCCAGGAAAATTGTTTTCTTGTCTTCAATCATCTTTCCGCTCGGTACAATTGGACATACAGGAACATTGTTTTCTTCACTTTAATCATCTTTCCGCTCGGTAGAATTGAAAATCCAGGAAAATGGTTTTCTTCTCTTTAATCATCTTTCCGCTCGGTAGAATTGAACATCCAGGAACATTGTTTTGTTCACTTTAATCATTTTTCCGCTCGGTAGAATTGGACATCCAGGAACATTGTTTTCTTGTCTTCGATCATCTTTCCGCTCGGTACAATTGGACATACAGGAACATTGTTTTCATCACTTTAATCATCTTTCCGCTGGGTAGAATTGGACATCTAGGAAAATTGTTTTCTTGTCTTCAATCATCTTTCCGCTAGGTAGAATTGAACATCCAGGAACATTGTTTTCTTCTCTTTAATCATTTTTCCGCTCGGCTCGGAATTGAACATCCAGGAACATTGTTTTCTTCACTTCAATCATCTTTCCGCTCGGTAGAATTGGACATCCAGGAACATTGTTTTCTTCTCTTCAATCATCTTTCCGCTCGGTAGAATTGAACATCCAGGAACATTGTTTTTTCTTTCATCTTTCCGCTCGGTAGAATTGAAATCATCTTTCTTAAATCATCTTTCCGGTAGAATTGAACATCCAGGAACATTGTTTTCTTTCTCTTAAATCATCTTTCCGCTCGGTAGAATTGAACATCCAGGAACATTGTTGTTCTCTTTTCTTCTCTTTAATCATTTTTCCGCTCGGTAGAATTCTTCTCTTCAACATCCAGGAACATTGAACATTGTTTTCTTCTCTTCAATCATTTTTCCGCTCGGTAGAATTGGACATCCAGGAAAATTGTTTTCTTCTCTTCAATCATCTTTCCGCTCGGTAGAATTGAACATCCAGGAACATTGTTTTCTTCTCTTTAATCATCTTTCCGCTCGGTAGAATTGAACATCCAGGAACATTGTTTTGTTCACTTTAATCATTTTTCCGCTCGGTAGAATTGGACATCCAGGAACATTGTTTACTTCTCTTCAATCATCTTTCCGCTCGGTAGAATTGAACATCCAGGAACATTGTTTTCTTCTCTTTAATCATCTTTCCGCTCGGTAGAATTAAACATCCAGGAACATTGTTTTCTTCTCTTCAATCATCTTTCCGCTCGGTAGAATTGAACATCCAGGAACATTGTTTTCTTCTCTTTAATCATCTTTCCGCTCGGTAGAATTGGACATCCAGGAACATTGTTTTCTTGTCTTCAATCATCTTTCCGTTCGGTAGAATTGAACATCCAGGAACATTGTTTTCTTCTCTTTAATCATCTTTCCGCTCGGTAGAATTGGACATCCAGGAACATTGTTTTCTTCTCTTTAATCATCTTTCCGCTCGGTAGAATTGAACATCCAGGAACATTGTTTTCTTCTCTTTAATCATCTTTCCGCTCGGTAGAATTGAACATCCAGGAACATTGTTTTCTTCTCTTTTCATCTTCTCTTCAATCATCATTTTTCCGCTCGGTAGAATTGGACATCCAGGAACATTGTTTTCTTGTCTTTAATCATCTTTCCGCTCGGTAGAATTGAACATCCAGGAACATTGTTTTCTTCTCTTCAATCATCTTTCCGCTCGGTCCGCTCGGTAGAAGACATCCAGGAACATTGTTTTCTTCTCTTTAATCATCTTTCCGCTCGGTAGGAACATCCAGGAACATTGTTTTCTTCTCTTCAATCATCTTTCCGCTCGGTAGAATTGAACATCCAGGAACATTGTTTTCTTCTCTTTAATCATCTTTCCGCTCGGTAGAATTGAACATCCAGGAACATTGTTTTCTTCTCTTTAATCATCTTTCCGCTCGGTAGAATTTGTTTTTCTTCTCTTTAATCATCCAGGAACATTGTTTTCTTCTCTTTAATCATCTTTCCGCTCGGTAGAATTGAACATCCAGGAACATTGTTTTCTTCTCTTTAATCATCTTTCCGCTCGGTAGAATTGAACATCCAGGAACATTGTTTTCTTCTCTTCAATCATCTTTCCGCTCGGTAGAATTGAACATCCAGGAACATTGTTTCTTGTCTTTAATCATCTTTCCGCTCGGTAGAATTGAACATCCAGGAACATTGTTTTCTTCTCTTTAATCATCTTTCCGCTCGGTAGAATTGAACATCCAGGAACATTGTTTTCTTCTCTTTAATCATCTTTCCGCTCGGTAGAATTGGACATCCAGGAACATTGTTTTCTTCTCTTTAATCATCTTTCCGCTCGGTAGAATTGAACATCCAGGAACATTGTTTTCTTCTCTTTAATCATCTTTCCGCTCGGTAGAATTGGACATCCAGGAACATTGTTTTCTTGTCTTCAATCATCTTTCCGCTCGGTAGAATTGGACATCCAGGAACATTGTTTTCTTCTCTTTAATCATCTTTCCGCTCGGTAGAATTGAACATCCAGGAACATTTCTTTTTTTTCTTGTCTTAATCATCTTTCCGCTCGGTAGAATTGAGGAACATTGTTTTCCAGTCTTCAATCACATTGTTTTGTTTTCTTGTCTTCAATCATCTTTCCGCTCGGTAGAATTGAACATCCAGGAACATTGTTTTCTTGTCTTCAATCATCTTTCCGCTCAGTAGGTATCCAGGAATTGGACATCCAGGAACATTGAACATTTTCTTGTCTTCAATCATCTTTCCGCTCGGTAGAATTGGACATCCAGGAACATTGTTTTCTTGTCTTCAATCATCTTTCCGCTCGGTAGAATTGGACATCCAGGAACATTGTTTTCTTGTCTTCAATCATCTTTCCGCTCGGTAGAATTGGACATCCAGGAACATTTTTTCTTGTCTTCAATCATCTTTCCGCACGGTAGAATTGGACATCCAGGAACATTGTTTTCTTGTCTTCAATCATCTTTCTGCTCGGTAGAATTGGACATCCAGGAACATTGTTTTCTTGTCTTCAATCATCTTTCCGCTCGTTAGAATTGAACATCCAGGAACATTGTTTTCTTGTCTTCAATCATCTTTCCGCTCGGTAGAATTTTTTTCTGACATCCAGGAACATTGTTTTGTTTCTTGTCTTCAATCATCTTTCCGCTCGGTAGAATTGAACATCCAGGAACATTGTTTTTTGTCTTTAATCATCTTTCCGCTCGGTAGAATTGAACATCTTGTTTCAAACATTGTTTTCAGAAAATTGTTTCTTGTCTTTAATCATCTTTCCGCTCGGTAGAATTGAACATCCAGGAACATTGTTTTCTTGTCTTCAATCATCTTTCCGCTTAAGAATTATATCATCTTTCATCTTTCTGCTCGGTAGAATTGGACATCCAGGAAATTGTTTTCATTGTCTTTAATCATTTTCCGCAGGAACATTGGACATCCAGGAACATTGTTTTCTTGTTTTCAATCATCATTTCGCTCGGTAGAATTGGACTTCCAAAATTGTTTTCTTGTCTTCAATTCTTTTCTTTGGAATCATCTTTCCGCTCGGTAGAATTGAACATCCAGGAACATTGTTTTCTTGTCTTCAATCATCTTTCCGCTGGGAATTGAACATCAAAAAAATCCAACATCCAGGAACATTGTTTTCTTGTCTTCAATCATCTTTCCGCTCGGTAGAATTGGACATCGGTAGGAACATTTTTTCTTGTCTTCAATCATCTTTCCTGCTCGGTTAAATTGAACATCCAGGAACATTGTTTTTCTTGTCTTCAATCATCTTTCCGCTCGGTAAAATTAAACATACAAAAATATTGTTTTCTTCTCTTTAATCATCTTTCCGCTCGGTAGAATTGGACATCCTGGAACATTGTTTTCTTGTCTTCAATCATCTTTCCGCTGGGTTAAATTGAACATCCAGGAACATTGTTTTCTTGTCTTCAATCATCATCTTTCCGCTGGACATTAGAAATTGAACATCCAGGAACATTGTTTTCTTGTCTTCAATCATCTTTCCGCTCGGTAAAATTGGACATCTAGGAAAATTGTTTTCTTGTCTTCAATCATCTTTCCGCTCGGTAGAATTGAACATCCAGGAACATTGTTTTCTTGTCTTCAATCATCTTTCCGCTCGGTAGAATTGGACATCCAGGAACATTGTTTTTTTCTTGTTTTCAATCATCTTTTCGTCTTCAATCATCTTTCCTCGGTAGAATTGGACATCCAGGAAAATTGTTTTTTCTTGTCTTCAATCATCTTTCCGCTCGGTAGAATTGGACATCCAGGAACATTGTTTTTTGTCTTCAATCATCTTTCCGCTCGGTAAAATTGAACATCCAGGAACATTGTTTTCTTTGTCTTCAATCATCTTTCCGCTCGGTAGAATTGAACATCCAAAAAATTGTTTTTGAACATCCGCCGGTAGAATTGAAATCCAGGAACATTGTTTTCTTGTCTTCAATCATCTTTCCGCTCGGTAGAATTGAACATCCAGGAACATTGTTTTCTTTGTCTTCAATCATCTTTCCGCTCGGTAGACATCCAGGAACATTGTTTTCTTGTCTTCAATCATCTTTCCGCTCGGTAAAATCAGGAACATTGTTTTCTTGTCTTTAATCATCTTTCCGCTCGGTAGAATTGGACATCCAGGAACATTGTTTTCTTGTCTTCAATCATCTTTCCGCTCGGTAGAATTGAACATCCAGGAACATTGTTTTCTTGTCTTCAATCATCTTTCCGCTCGGTAGAATTGAATATCCAGGAACACATCTTTCCGCCGGTAGAATTGGACATCCAGGAACATTGTTTTCTTGTCTTCAATCATCTTTCCGCTCGGTAGAATTGAACATCCAGGAACATTGTTTTCTTGTCTTCAATCATCTTTTCCGCTCCGGTAAAATTGAATCTTTCCATCGGTAGAATTGAACATCTAGGGAACATTGGAACATTGTTTTCTTTCTTCAATCATCTTTCCGCTCGGTAGAATTGGACATCCAGGAACATTGTTTTTCTTGTCTTCAATCATCTTTCCGCTCGTTAAATTGAACATCCAGGAACATTGTTTTCTTGTCTTCAATCATCTTTCCGCTCGGTAGAATTGGACATCCAGGAACATTGTTTTCTTGTCTTCAATCATCTTTCTGCTCGGTAGAATTGAACATCCAGGAACATTGTTTTCTTGTCTTCAATCATCTTTCCGCTCAATCAAGGAACATTGTTTTCTTGTCTTCAATCATCTTTCCGCTCGGTAAATTGAACATCCAAAATTGTCTTCAATCATCTTTCCGGTAGAATTGGACATCCAGGAACATTGTTTTCTTGTCTTCAATCATCTTTCCGCTCGGTAGAATTGAACATCCAGGAACATTGTTTTCTTCTCTTCAATCATCTTTCCGCTCGGTAAATTGAACATCCAGGAAAATTGTTTTCTTGTCTTCAATCATCTTTCCGCTCGGTAGAATTGGACATCCAGGAACATTGTTTTCTTGTCTTCAATCATCTTTCCGCTCGGTAGAATTGAACATCCAGGAACATTGTTTTCTTGTCTTCAATCATCTTTCCGCTCGGTAGAATTGAACATCCAGGAAATTGTTTTGTTCTTCAATCATCTTTCCGCTCGGTAGAATTGGACATCCAGGAACATTGTTTTCTTGTCTTCAATCATCTTTCCGCTCGGTAGAATTGAACATCCAGGAACATTGTTTTCTTGTCTTCAATCATCTTTCCGCTCGGTAGAATTGAACATCCAGGAACATTGTTTTCTTGTCTTCAATCATCTTTCCGCTCGGTAGAATTGGACATCCAGGAACATTGTTTTCTTGTCTTCAATCATCTTTCCGCTCGGTAGAATTGAAACATCCAGGAACATTGTTTTCTTTTGTCTTCAATCATCTTTCCGCTCGGTAGAATTGAACATCCAGGAACATTGTTTTCTTGTCTTCAATCATCTTTCCGCTCGGTAGAATTGGACAACCAGGAACATTGTTTTCTTGTCTTCAATCATCTTTCCCCTCGGTAGAATTGGACATCCAGGAACATTGTTTTCTTGTCTTCAATCATTTTCCCGCTCGGTAGAATTGATCATCAAGGAACATTGATTTCTTGTCTTCAATCATCTTTCTCGGTAGAATTGACATCCAGGAACATTGGTAGAATTGAAACATCCAGGAACATTGTTTTCTTGTCTTCAATCATCTTTGTTTTCATTGTTTTTTGTCTTCAATCATCTTTCCGCTCGGTAGAATTGAACATCCAGGAACATTGTTTTCTTGTCTTCAATCATCTTTCCGCTCGGTAGAATTGAACATCCAGGAACATTGTTTTCCAGGAATCATCTTTTCGGTAGAATTGAACATCCAGGAACATTGTTTTTGTTCTTCAATCATCTTTCCGCTCGGTAGAATTGGACATCCAGGAACATTGTTTTCTTGTCTTCAATCATCTTTCCGCTCGGTAGAATTGAACATCCAGGAACATTGTTTTCTTGTCTTCAATCATCTTTCTCGCTCGGTAGAATTGGACATCCAGGAACATTGTTTTCTTGTCTTCAATCATCTTTCCGCTCGGGACATCCAGGAAGTTTTCTTGTCTTCAATCATTGAACATCCAGGAACATTGTTTTCTTGTCTTCAATCATCTTTCCGCTCGGTAGAATTGGACATCCAGGAACATTGTTTTCTTGTCTTCAATCATCTTTCCGCTCGGTAGAATTGGACATCCAGGAACATTGTTTTCTTGTCTTCAATCATCTTTCCGCTCGGTAGAATTGAACATCCAGGAACATTGTTTTCTTGTCTTCAATCATCTTTCCGCTCGGTAGAATTGAACATCCAGGAACATTGGTAGAATTGGACATCCAGGAACATTGTTTTCTTGTCTTCAATCATCTTTCCGCTCGGTAGAATTGAACATCAGGAACATTGTTTTCTTGTCTTCAATCATCTTTCCGCTCGGTAGAATTGAACATCCAGGAACATTGTTTTCTTGTCTTCAATCATCTTTTCCTGACATCCAGGTAGTTTTCTTGTCTTTAATCATCTTTCCGCTCAGTAGAATTGAATATCCAGGAACATTGTTTTCTTGTCTTCAATCATCTTTCCGCTCGGTAGAATTGGACATCCAGGAACATTGTTTTCTTTGTCTTCAATCATCTTTCCGCTCGGTAGAATTGAACATCCAGGAACATTGTTTTCTTGTCTTCAATCATCTTTCCGCTCGGTAGAATTGAACATCAGGAACATTGTTTTCTTGTCTTCAATCATCTTTCCGCTCGGTAGAATTGACATCCAGGAACATTGTTTTCTTTTGTCTTCAATCATCTTTCCGCTCGGTTAGAATTGAACATCCAGGAACATTGTTTTCTTGTCTTCAATCATCTTTCCGCTCGGTAGAATCTGAACATCCAGGAACATTGTTTCTTTTGTCTTCAATCATCTTTCCGCTCATCGGTAGAATTGAACATCCAGGAACATTGTTTTCTTGTCTTCAATCATCTTTCCGCTCGGTAGAATTGGACATCCAGGAACATTGTTTTCTTGTCTTCAATCATCTTTCGGTAGAATTGACATCAAGGAACATTGTTTCTTTCTCAATCATCTTTCCGCTCGTTAGAATTGGACATCCAGGAACATTGTTTTCTTGTCTTCAATCATCTTTCCGCTCGGTAGAATTGAACATCCAGGAACATTGTTTTCTTTGTCTTCAATCATCTTTCCGCTCGGTAGAATTGGACATCCAGGAACATTGTTTTTCTTTCTTCAATCATCTTTCCCCTCGGGGACATCCAGGAACATTTTTTGTTCTCAATCATCTTCCTGCTCGTTGAATTGAACATCAAGGAACATTGTTTTCTTGTCTTCAATCATCTTTTGCGCTCGGTAAGAATTGAACATCCAGGAACATTGTCTTTCTTTTCTTCAATCATCTTTCATCTTTCCGCTCAGTGAATTGAACATCCAAGAACATTGTTTCTTTGTCTTCAATCATCTTTCCCTCGGTAGAAATTGATATCCAGAAATTGTTTCTTTGTTCAACATCCGGTAGGAACATTTGTTTTCTTTGTCTTCAATCATCTTTCCGCTCGTAGAATTGATCATCCAGAACATTGTTTTTCTTGTCTTCAATCATCTTTCCGCTCATTTAGAATTGGACATCCAGGAACATTGTTTTCTTTGTCTTCCAATCATTTTTCTTTTCGGTGAATTGAACATCAAGAACATTGTTTTCTTGTCTTCAATCATCTTTTCCGCTCGGTAGAATCTGGACATCCAGGGAACATTGTTTTCTTGTCTTTCAATCATCTTTCCGCTCGGTAGAATTGAACCAGGAAACATCATTTTCCGCTCGGTAGAAACATTCCAGGAACATTGTTTTCTTTGTCTTCAATCATCTTCCGCCGGTAGAATTGGACATCCAGGAATATTGTTTTCGTCTTCAATCATCTTTCCCTCGGTAAATCTGACATCAAAAACATTGTTTTCTTGTCTTCAATCATCTTTCCGCTCAATAGAATTGAACATCCAGGAACATTGTTTTTGTTCAATCATCTCGCTTGGTAGAATTGAACATCAAAAAATATTCCTTTCTTCTCTTTAATCATCTTTCGCTCAGTGGACATCCCTGGAACATTGTTTCTTGTAACCAATCATCTTTTCGGTAGAATTGAACATCCAGAACATTTTCTTTGTCTTCAATCATCTTTCCGCTCGGTAGAATTGATCCAGGAACATTGTTTTCTTGTCTTCAATCATCTTTCCGCTCGGTAGAATTGAACATCCAGGAACATTGTTTTCTTGTCTTCAATCATCTTTCCGCTCGGTAGAATTGACATCCAGGAACATTGTTTTCTTGTCTTCAATCATCTTTCTGCTCGGTAAATTGGACATCCAGGAACATTGTTTTCTTGTCTTCAATCATCTTTCCGCTCGGTAGAATTGGACATCTAGGAACATTGTTTTCTTGTCTTCAATCATCTTTCCGCTCGGTAGAATTGGACATCCAGGAACATTGTTTTTTTTGTCTTCAATCATCTTTCCGCTCGGTAGAATTGAACATCCAGGAACATTGTTTTCTTGTCTTCAATCATCTTTCCGCTCGGTAGAATGGTGAAATGGACATCCAGGAACATTGTTTTTTCTTGTCTTCAATCATCTTTCCGCTCGGTAGAATTGGACATCCAGGAACATTGTTTTCTTTTTCTTTTCTTGTCTTCAATCTTGTCTGCAATCATCTTTCCGCTCAGTAGAATTGAACATCCAGGAACATTGTTTTCTTGTCTTCAATCATCTTTCCGCTCGGTAGAATTGAACATCCAGGAACATTGTTTTCTTGTCTTCAATCATCTTTCCTTCGGTTAAATTGAACATCCAGGAACATTGTTTTCTTGTCTTCAATCATCTTTCCGCTGGGTAGAATTGAACATCCAGGAAACATTCTCTTTTCTTCCGCTCTTGAAATCACATTGTTTCTTTCCGCTCATCTTTCGTAGTAATTGAACATCCAGGAACATTGTTTTCTTGTCTTCAATCATCTTTCCGCTCGGTATCTTTCCGCTCGGGTGGACATCCAGGAATATTGTTTTCTTGTCTTCAATCATCTTTCCGCTCGTTAGAATTGAACATCCAGGAACATTGTTTTCTTGTCTTCAATCATCTTTCCGCTCGGTAGAATTGAATATCCAGGAACATTGTTTTCTTGTCTTCAATCATCTTTCTGCTCGGTAGAATTGAACATCAAGGAACATTGTTTTCTTGTCTTCAATCATCTTTCCGCTCGGTAGAATTGGACATCCAGGAACATTGTTTTCTTGTCTTCAATCATACTTTCCCGCACGGTCAGTAAATTGGACATCCAGGAACATTGTTTTCTTGTCTTCAATCATCTTTCCGCTCGGTGAATTGAACATCCAGGACATTGTTTTCTTGTCTTCAATCATCTTTCCGCTCGGTAGAATTGGACATCTTGGAACATTGTTTCTTGTCTTCAGGTGGACATGGAACATTGTTTCTTGTTTCCGCCGCTGGGTAGAATTGGACATCCAGGAACATTGTTTCTTGTCTTCAATCATCTTTCCGCTCGGTAGAATTGGACATCCAGGAACATTGTTTCTTGTTTTCTCCAATCATCTTTCCGCTCGGTAGAATTGAACATCCAGGAACATTGTTTTCTTGTCTTCAATCATCTTTCCGCTCGGTAATTGAACATGGAACATTGTTTCTTATCTTCAATCATCTATCCGCTCCAGGAACATTGAACATTTTTCTTGTCTTCAATCATCTTTCCGCTCGGTACAATTGAATATCCAGGAACATTATTTTCTTGTCTTCAATCATCTTTCCGCTCGGTAGAATTGGACATCAAGGAACATTGTTTCTTGTCTCCAATCATCTTTCCGCTCGGTAGAATCTGACATCCTGGAACATTGTTTCTTGTCTTTCAATCATCTTTCCGCTCGGTAAAATTGAACATCCAGGAACATTGTTTTCTTGTCTTCAATCACCTTTCCGCTCTTTCCCGCTCGGTAGAATTGGACATCTTGGAAGAATTGTTTTCTTGTCTTCAATCATCTTTCCGCTCGGTAATTGGACATCCAGAACATTGTTTTCCGTCTTCAATCATCTTTCCGCTCAGTGATTGGACATCCAGGAACATTGTTTCTTCTCTCCAATCATCTTTTCCTCGTTCAATTGAACATCAGGACGTTGTTTTCTTATCTTCAATCATCTATCGCTCAGAATTGAACATCAGGAACATTGTTTTCTTGTCTTCAATCATCTTTCCGCTGGGTTAAATTGAACATCCAGGAACATTGTTTTCTTGTCTTCAATCACCTTTCCGCTCGGTACAATTGGACATCTAGGAACATTGATTTCTTGTCTTCAATCATCTTTCTGCTCGGTAGAATTGGACATCCTGGAACATTGTTTTCTTGTCTTCAATCATCTTTCCGCCTGGTAGAATTGAACATCCAGGAACATTGTTTTCTTCTCTTTAATCATCTTTCCGCTCGGTAGAATTGGACATCAGGAACATTGTTTCTTTGTCTTCAATCATCTTTCCGCTCGGTCAGGAATTGAACATCCTGGAACATTGAACATTGTTTCTTGTCTCCAATCATCTTTGTAGGGTGAACATCCGGAACATTGTTTCTTTCTTCAATCTCCGCTCGGTAATTGGTAAGATCTTTCCGCTCGGTAAATTGAACATCCAGGAACATTGTTTTTCTTATCTTCAATCATCTTTCCGCTCGGTAGAATTGATCATCCAGGAACATTATTTCTTTCTTCAATCATCTTTCCGCTCGGTAGAATTGAACATCCAGAACATTGTTTTCTTGTCTTCAATCATCTTTCCGCTCGGTAGAATTGAACATCCAGGAACATTGTCTTTTCTTTGTCGTTAGAATTGAACATTAATCATCTTTCCGCTCGGTTGAACATCCAAGACATTGTTTTCTTGTCTTCAATCAACTCAGTGAAATTGAAACATTGTTTTCTTTCTTCAATCATCTTTCCGCTCGGTAGAATCGGACATCCAGGAACATTGTTTTCTTGTCTCCAATCATTTTCCGCTCGTTAAATTGAACATCAAGGAACATTATTTCTTGTCTTCAATCATCTTTGCGCTCGGTAGAATTGGACATCCAGGAACATTGTTTTCTTGTCTTCAATCATCTTTCTCGGTAAGAATTGGACATCAAGAACATTGTTTTCATCTTCAATCATCTTTCTGGGTAAAAATTTAACATCCAAGAACATTGTTTTCTTCTCTTCAATCATCTTTCCTCGGTAGAATTGAACATCCAGGAACATTGTTTTCTTTCTTCAATCATCTTTCCGCTCGGTAGAATTGAACATCCAGGAACATTGTTTTCTTTGTCTTCAATCATCTTTCCCTCGGTGCAGAATTGGACATCCAGAACATTGTTTTCTTGTGTCTCAATCATCTTTCCACTCGGTTTGGACCGTTTTCTTGTCTTCAATCATCTTTCGCTCGTTAGAATATCCAGGACATTGTTTTCTTTGTCTTCAATCATCTATCCGCTCGGTAAATTGAACATCAGGAACATTGTTTTCTGTCTTTGGGTTAATGAACATCCAGGAACATTATTTTTCCGCTCTTTAGAATCGGTGACATCTAGGAACATTGTTTTCTTGTCTTCAATCATCTTTCCGCTCGGTAGAATTGGACATCCTGGAACATTGTTTTCTTGTCGCAATCATCTTTCCGCTGGGTAGAATTTAGCATCCAGGAACATTGTTTTCTTCTCTCCTCAATCATCTTCCGCTCTTGGTAGAATTGAACATCATCTTGGAATATTGTTTTTCGTCTTCAGTCATCTTTCCGCTTGTTAGATTGGACATCCAGGAACATTGTTTTCTTGTCTTCAATCATCTTTTCCAATTGAGATGGACATCAGGAACATTGTTTTCTTCTCTCCAATCATCTTTCCGCTCTAAATTTAAATTGAACATCAGGGCATTGTTTTCTTGTCTTCCGTCCATCTCCGCTCCGGTAGAATTGAACATCCAAGATTCTTGTTTCTTGTCTTCAATCATCTCCACTGGGTTAATTGAACATCAAAGATTTATTTTTCTTAATGTTCAATCATCTCTTTCCGCTCAGTACAATTGGACATCTAGGAACATTGATTTCTTATATTCGTCAATCTTTCTGCTCGGTAGAAATTGGACATCCTGGAACATTGTTTTCTTCTGTCTTCAATCATCTTTCCACTTTGGGTAAAATTTAACATCGGAACATTGTTTTCTTCTCTTTAATCACCTTTCGCTTTTCTTGTCTTTAATCATCTTTCCGCTCGTTAGA